TCCTGACAAACTTTGCACTGCTATTACGATGATCATGATCAGATGTGCAAAGAAAACTATTCCCCGAGGCAAAACTAAACACTATCGAGTGTTTTGGTTTAGACAACTTGAGAAACTGAAAAGAAAGAGGGAGGCTTTTCGCAACACTGCTGATCAGACTGGAAGAACGGAAGACGTACAAGCCTGGAGAGACAAACAGCTGTCCTAAGGCAAGCCATCTTACAAGCTAAATGCACTTCTTTCGACAAGTTCATCTCAAATATAAACAATCAAAGTGATAGCCAACGCACTTTCAAATTACTGGGTAACCTCCAAAAGAACAGAGAAAGACCCAAGAAAGAACCAATACGTTTAAACAGCAAATTGCTTACCACCAACACCGAAATAGCTAACTGCTTTGCGAAGTTCTATTCCCACAAGCAAAAGAAAAACCCTTTTGTCAGAAAATCTTCAAGAGATTTAAAGATACAAGTAAGACAGTTTGGTGACATTAAGGAAGACACAACACCAAATGATTTATTTACTCAACCATTCAGACCTTGCGAACTTAATGCTGCGATAAAACAGCTCAAGTGCAAGAAGTCTCCTGGCGAAGACGGTATTCAACCAGAATTTCTAATTAGAATGGGTCCAAAAGTCAAGGAAACCATGCTGACGCTTTACAACAAAATCTGGGAGACCAGTCTCGTACCTAACCNGGGCGGGGGATGTCGGAAGGACGCATCGGAAATGCTCCTTGAGTTGGAAGGCGTACGACGAAGGATCTACCATCGGTATATTTGGGGAGCGTGTAATCATTTCTCCCGGGAGCCGGAGCGTGGTGCCCAAGATAAGTTCTTCTGGAGAGCATCCGAGATCCGTATAGAAAGAAGAATGATGGGATGACGCTCTGCCCAATTAACGCCGGCCGAAGTTGCGACGATAGCAGACTTAAGCTGTCGATGAAAACGGTCCACTAGGCCGTTGCTCTCCGGGTGATAGGCGGTGGTGAATATGTGTGTTGAGCCCAATAGCTTGTTTAACTCCTGAAATGACGTAGAAGTGATTTGGGGCCCCTGTCGGTAGTTATTACGGCGGGAACTCCGAAAATGGATATCCACTAATCCATTAGTCTTCGCCACCATCCTAGCAGTAGTGTCGCAATTGGCCAACGTGTAAAATGGTCGATATAGATTAGGATATGTGTATAAGAGTTCAAAGGTGGCAGCGGACCCACAATATCAACATGTATGTGGCGGAAACGGACTTCGAGAAGGGGTAAAGCGGAGAGCGGGCTGCCGGAATGTTTTTGGACCTTGCTGGTCTGACAAGCGAGGCGATGTTTGGCCCAATAACGAGCGTCCTGTCGAATGTTTTTCCAAACAAAACTGTCGGTGATCAACTTCGTTGTGGAACAAATGTTCGGATGCGACAGACCGTGAAACTGACCAAAATCTTCCGGCAATATGCTTGCGGGACAAATGGTCTCGGCTTGCCGATTGATACGTCGCAATGGATCTGTGTATCGGAGTCTGGTAGAGGTAACCATTCGAAGCGTAACGAAGGGTTTGAGGTGATTTCGGTGAAATCTGGATCCTACTTTTTTCGGTGGCCAGGACTTGCAAATCGAGAGAGGTCACCCCTATTCGGTTCAACTTCATGCGAGACATCGCGTCGGCAACCACATTACTCGCGCCGTCAATATGGCGAATATCATTTGTGAATTGCAAGACGAAATCCAAATGACGAGTTTCACTGGGGAAGTGGTGATCTGAGTTGGCCTGAAAAGCATAAATTAGGGGCTTGTGGTCGGTAAATGTCGTAAACTGACGGCCTTCCAGTATATGGCGGAAGTGTTTGACTGCTATGTAGATGGCGAGTAATTCCCTACCGAACGTGCTATAATGGGTTTCAGGAGAGGTGAGCTTCCTGGAGAAGAAGGGGAGTGGCTGGGTTTCACCTCTAACCACCTGTTGCAGAACTGCTCTGACGGCCACTTGGGATGCATCCGTCTTCAAAACAATTCGTAACTCGCTGGAGGTGTCGAGGTGGTTTAGGGTAGTCGTCCTAGAGAGCAATTGTTTCACTTCCGTGAACACGGACCCAGTCTCAGGTGTCGCCCGGAAGTGCTTTGGGTTGCCTTTCAGCAAATCCGTGGGAGACTGGAGTACTTGAGCGCAGTTGGGAATGAA